AACTAGATCTGGTTGCTCAGAGCCCCATCCAACCTGACCTTGAATGTTTCTGAGGATGGAGCATCTACCACCTCTCTGGCAACCCTGGCCAGTGTTTTACCACTCTCAGAGTAAAGAATTTCTTCCTTCTATCTAGTCTGAATCCACCCTTGTTTAGTTTAAAACTATAACCCTTTGTCCTTGTCCCCATCTTACTTACAAGCCCCCTTTAAGTTCCAAAAGGCTGCAATAAGGTCTCCCTGGAACATTCTTCAGGTTAAACAATCGCAAATCTCTCAGTCTGTCCTCACAGCAGAGATGCTCCAGCCCTCAGATCAATTTCGTGGCCTCCTCTGGACTCTCTCCAACAGGTTGATGTCTCTCCTGTGCTGGGGACTCCAGAGCTGGACGCAGTAATCCAAGTGGGGTCTCCCCAGAGCAGAGTAGAGGGGCAGAATCCCCTCCCTCGCCCTGCTGGCCACCCTGCTGGGGATGCAGCCCAGGATATGGTTGGCTTTCTGGTGCATGTTGCCAGCTCATGTCCAGCTTTTCATCTACCAGCACCCCCAAGTCCTTGGCAGAGCTGCTCTCAATCCCTTCATCCCCCAACCTGTATTGATACCAGGGGTTGCCCTGAACCAGAAGCAGGACCTTGCACTTGGCCTTGTTGAACCTCATGAGGTTCACACAGGCCCACTCCTCGAGCCTGTCCAGGTCCCTCTGGGTGGCATCCCATGCCTCAGGTCTGTTAACCACAGCACTCAGCTTGGTGTCATCTGAAAACTTGCTGAGGGTGCACTCAATCCCACTGTCTACGTCATTGATGAAGACACTGAACAGTACTGGTCCCAGTACAGACCCCCAAGGGACACCACTTGTCACTGATCTCCATCTGGACATTGAGGTGTTGACCGCTATGGTCTGGATGCGGCCATCCAACCAATTCCTCATCCACCAAACAGTCCACCCATCCAATCCATGTCTCGCCAATTTAGAGAGAAGGACGTTGTGGGGGACCACGTCAAAGGCCTTACAGAAGCCCAGGTAGACAACATCCATATCTCTTCCCTTGCCCACTGATGTAGTCACTCCACCATAAAACGCCACTAGGTTGGTCAGGCAGGACTTGCTCTTGGTGAAGCCATGCTGGCTGTCTCGAATCACCTCCCTGGCCTCCATGTGCCTTAGCATAGCTCCTAGGAGGATCTGTTCCATGATCTTCCCAGGCACAGAGGTGAAGCTGACAGGTCAGTAGTTCCCAGGGTCCTCCTTTCTACCCTTTTAAAAAATGGGTGCAATGTTTCCCTTTTTCCAGTCACCAGGGACCTCACCTGACTGCCATGACTTTTCAAATATCACGGAGATTGGCTTGGCCACTACATCAGCCAATTCCCTCAGGACTCTGGGATACATCTCATCAGGTCCCATAGACTTCTGTATGTTCAGGTTCCTCAGGTGGTCATGAACCTCATCTTCTCTTACAGTGGGAGGCCTTTCCTCCCCCAGTCCCTGCCTTGTGGTCCATCCACTTGAGAGGTGTGGGGAGAGAAGTTGCCAGTGAAGATTGAGGCAAAGAAGTTGTTGAGTCCCTCAGCCTTCTCCTCGTCCATGGTTACCAGTTTGCCAGTCTTGCTCATTAGCGGGGGTACACTTTCTCTGACCTTCCTTTTCTGGCTGGCATACTTGTAGAAGCCCTTCTTATTATTCTTTTAATCACTTGCCAAGTTCATCTCCAGCCATGCCTTGGCCTTCCTGACCCCTATACAACCAGGTAGTGTCCCTATACTCTTCCCAGGATACCTGTCCCTGCTTCCACTGCCTGTGCATTTCCTTCTTGCACTTTAGTTTGACTGAGCCATGCTGGTCTCTTGCCTGCCTTTCCTGATTTCTTACACCTGGGGATCGAGAGCTCTTGCACTCTATGGAAAGCAACCTTACAGATCTGCCAGCTCTGTTCTACCCCCTTGTCCCTGAGGGCAGTTTCCCAGGGGGTCTTATTGACTAACTTCTTGAAGAGAGCTGGAATCTTGCTTTCCTAAAATTCAGGGTCCTTTTCTCTTTACTCTTCGCCTGACCCATAGCCCTCAGGACTGCAAACTCCACCAGTGCATGATCGCTGCAGCCTGGCCTGCCTCCAATCTTGATGTCACCAATTAGCTCACTTGCGTTGGTGACCATCAGGTCCAGTATCGCATCCCCTCTGGTCAGGCTGTCTATTACCTGGCTTAAGAAGTCACCCTCAATGCACTCCAGGAGTCTCCCGGATTGCCTACAGCTCACCATGCTACTTCTCCAGCAGATATTGGGGTGGTTGAAGTCCCCCAGCAGGACAAGAGCTTACAAGCACAATGCCTCCTGTAGCTGGAGTAAGAAGGCTTTGTCAATAGGCTCCCCTTGATCAGGTGGCTTGTAGTAGACACCAACCACAAGGTTCCCTTTGTTGCCTCGGTCTCTAATTCTTACCCACAACCTTTCAACCTGCTCATGGCTATTGTTCAGAGACAGCTCTTCACACTCTATATATTTCTTGACATAGAGGGAAACACCTCCACTCCTCCTTCCTCACCTGTCCCTTCTGAACAGCCTGTAGTCATCGATAGCCACATGCCAGTCATGGGATTTGTCCCATCAAGTTTCAGTAATGGCAACATGGTATGCTCGATTACAGAAGACAATGAATACCATTTTACTATATATGTTTATCTGAATTTTATGGTAAATAAACAGTCAAGCAAATAGATCCCTGAAGCCCCTTGAGACTTCAGTGATCTGTAGATCAGACTGGGAAAACTTCTGGCATTAACTCATTATGTCTTATACCCTATACCTGGGCTGCTTTGAACACCTACGTTCTTGATTCTGCATCACAGGACAATCATCTCCGGACAAGCACAAACAAGCAGAATCGAGGATTACAGGTAACGTGATCAGAAGCAGACCGTTTCCCAGCACAAGGCTGTTCTGCCAGTCTTTTGGGATGCAGGCAGCTGACTGAGAATAGGTTGATCAGTGAAAAAAACTCAGAGCAGATTATGTCCGTTTACTGACAGAACATCATCCCTTCCGACAGGAGAGCTGTTAGCTGAATCAGAATTAGGCAACAGATTAGGCGCTGCAGCATGTTAAGGGCTGCACGAAGCTAACCACGGATGCCGTGACAGACCAGCACGGATAAAGGTTAAAAGGACCTCTTGTCAGGATCAAACACATCTAAAGATATACTGAAGATGCAGTTAATGAAACTTCTCTCTATAAAGCAGAAACCTGTGCATGAGTGGAAGACATAATTTTGGCCAGATATTTAGAAAAACAAAAACCAAATCAAAATCCCCAGGTGTTTCAGTGGTATTTCCCATGGCTATCTGCTCAAGCAGCTAAATAAAAGAAATACCAATTAAGTTTAGAAGACTTCTACAAAACCCATAATCTTTATGTTACAATTGGGGGGGGGGGGGGGGGGGGGGACTGGGGGGGGGAGGGGGGATGATTTCATTAATGCTTTTCCTCTTTTCCTGTTGCGTTGTTTTGGGGTTTTTTTCGGTAAAGGCCTAAGGGAAGAATCGATGTTCAAAGTTTTTTTATTTTGGTTTGACTTTTTAAGCCCAGCAGCTAGTAAGCTATCGTTTCTTACTTCTGTTGAGGTAAAATGTAAAATAAAAACAACAAAGACATAAAAGAAATGGGAAAAACTGAATCCAGAAAATGAAAGCAATGATAACTTTCATTCTGCAATGACAGTTGAGAAGGTAAATTATAAAATACAGTTTCTCATAATGACTAAACAAAAATAGCTCAGCACCTCAGAATTTAAGCAATGAAATCTCAGCTGTAAATCAAAAGGAAATCAGATTCAAGATTTTAACAGAGCAAGTAGAAGTACAATATTTGACTTACAATTTGCTGTCATTGAGTCTCAGATATTGGCAGAGATGATCAACAGTCAAAAAACAAACTTTGTTTCATTTAATGATAAATATTTATCCTTAGCAGATTGGAAGATGACATATTTCTGCTATTTTTCACTCTAAAACATCATATTGAATGACACATGACTTCTCCTTCTGATGGAGAATCATCATGGAGTAGAGGAATGGTGTTACCAACCACTAAAGCTAATGGTATGGAACAAACAGTAGTAGACAATAAGTACTTAAAACCAAAAGGCATTCATGACTTAGAAGACAATATATACCTAATATTTTTTTAATAGACTTTTGACAGGTCTTGCAATAAAGCATTTCTGAAATTTAAATATCACAGTATTTTCCCCCAACTCAGTAAAGTTTTTAGGCACCCTAATTAAAAGCAGTCACATCTTTAACTACATCTCCAATCAGCAAATCACTTAAAATAAAGTTTCCACTGACTTAAAAGCTGATCGGTATGATGAACAGGCAAAGAATGAAGTAAACGCATATAGTATGAGCTGAAGCGCTTGGATGAATTGGAGCCACTGTATATAGCACCTGCTGCTATCAGACTTGTGAAACTGTACACAGCTGAACAATGCAGAAACTCTACCTTTGAATTAACACCTCAATCTATTTTTAAAGATTTCAGGATTAAATACGTTCCTCATGGTAAATTCCTGAGAATAGATTGACAGGACAGGGGTAGGACAACCTTGTCTTACACAAAACACAGCTGGGGAAACCTAGCACTAAGAGCCAGCTTACCAACAGGAGAGTTTCAGATCATAAAATGGTTTGGGTTGGAAGGGCCTTAAAGATCATCGAGTTCCAACCCCCCTGCCCTGGGCAGGGACACCTCCCACCAGACCAGGTTGCTCAAAGCGCTATCCAGCCTGGCCCCTGCTCTGGCAGGGGAGGGGGACCAGATGATCTCCAGAGGTCCCTTCCAACCCTGACCATTCTGTGACTCTGTGAATTTTGAAAATTTGTTCACATGATTCTTTACTTATGTGTTGCCGATGCTATTGAAAGTTTCCAGCATTGTCTTTAAGTTATAGCCAATAGAATAGAGACAATGAGTCAATATACAAGAGTCAAACCAAGGCTTACCTTGTTGCTGGAAGGGTGCTGACACGTGTAAAGAAAACAGATGGCTCTACTTCTACGTGAAGGCCTAGTGAAAGGTTCCTGTAATATCCTTCAACATGTCCTGGTCCACCAGAGTATTTAAAATTCAAAATGGCTTCCAGTGTCTAGAGAAATAAAAGTAAATTACTTATTAGCTATGTTTCATTACTGTGCATTTCACAAGTTCAATTAAATTAGACCATAGGAGTGATTTACCAACAAAGTTTCTATGCCCTCAAGAATTTGCCTTCCTAACCCATCCATTCTATCATCTCAAGAAAAAAGGCAATCTAACAAATAAATGCACCTTATGTGAACAGTTGCTTTTTTCCCCTTATCTTTTCAAAAACTAAGGAGTACAGAAAAAAGTCAGCTGGACTTCCCTTTATATAACTCCTCTCCATACCAGATTTAACACAGAAAAAATGAAGAGCATATTTTTGCTTAGAAGAGTTTAGGGTTTATTAAATGATATGCTCTCTCATACTCTTGAAAAATAGTCACCACTTCGTTACCTTCATAATCAAATGGAAAACCTTTAAAGTTTTTCAGTGTGGACAGATGAAGATTATGCAAAACTAAAAGCATCTGGACTCTTCACAAGTCACTGCAAACATCTCCATTAACTAACAGATCAAAACCAACACTGTTGTCTAGATCTAGTGCACAAACCTTGTCTTTCTTTGATGTTCATTTTATAGAACATGATTGGTTTGCAAATATTAAAAATGAAGATGACTCTTTAGCATTAGTCTTATGCACTCATTACTCTCAGTAGTACTGAGCCTTTACTTCTCTGATGCAGTTTTGGGCTTTATGTCTTTTTCCTTAACGAACAGCATATGGGATATTCCCCAGTGTACCAGTCCCCATGGCAGCACCAGGGTTCAAGCTCAGGACAAACCTTTGATTCATCCAAAGAGACTGTACACCACCTCTTCTTTCATGACATTCCTGAAATATAATTTGCTGGAAGCAAGGTGAGAATTTGGGAAGTGTCACTGGACCTTTTTCTCAGCTCTTATTCTGGCCCCCAGGCAGCTGCTATTGTCACATCTCAGGGCACGGACAGAGACAGTGACAGACCTTTACCCTGACATGGACATTACCATATTATGCTGAAGCCGATGTCTAGAAGGACAGCCATTTCTTAAAAAGATTTAGAAACAACGCCTATCTCCTCTTTCATTGGCTTTTAGCTCATGCTTTATTTAAAAAAAAAAAAAGAAAGAAAAAAAAACCAAAACAAAACCACCCAAACCTCAAGTCAACAACTTATCCAGGAAACCAAGTGTATTTATCAAACGTCATCAATCCACAGACAGTTAAAAGTATTCTCCCTTTCAACTGAAGATTCACTAAACTATGAAACCGGTTAATTATTTGTGTAAGCTCTAAGGAACAACCTAAGGATTTTCTAATTTACAAAAAAGACATTTATATTTTATACTATTCTGTTTCTAAGTCTGGCTGAAGGAACAGAAACAAGGACATAATCAATTTCTTAAAATAACCACAATCCAGTGATTTCAAGAATACCAAAATCAAGAGTTTAATGTTTTGCTGCATGTGCGCACTTAAATGTTTTGCCTAATTCTATTTTGCTTTTAGGTAAAGTGGGCTAACTCCAATTTCTAATTTAGTTTCTTTAAAATTCATAAGAGTCACCTTATAATACAAATAAAAACCTTCGCTGGACACTCTGGACATACCCATCTACTCTGTTTATGTCAATTTCTAATTTGTCGTTAATGAACTCGAGTTTATGTTATGTCAGGAAAGCTAATCAGTATTAAATACAAAAATAAAAAAGCGCAAACTCATTCAAACCATACTTCATTCTAATTAACCAGCTGGACCACTTAATAAAAATCAGAGCTAAACTCCATAAGTACAGGGAGCTGAGGGTACTTACATCGTAATGTGAGCATGGACTTCAATTTCAATCGGGTAATCTGTGCAAACCCTAACTGGGTATGTTCTGTTTTCTTGCTGGAACACCCAGTATCATGCTTGGGAAAGTTGTGGTAGGGATTCATGGTTTATTCTACAGAGAACCATGGCACAAGGCTGCTTTATTAAGCCAAATCCCATATAATTACAGGTAAACACGTGATAAATGTTAGTTCAAAACATCATGGAGCATTATCCTTCAAGATGAAAACCTCTTCCTAACATCCGATTCCAAATGAAAAGCCTCCAGAAAAAGGCTAAAAAATACCACGCACTGTCGGCGAGGAGAAGAGTTTAATGGCATCATCATAAACCTGGTCCCTGTTGTAGTGAGGAATTTGTCCAAGGAAATGTGACCTGTGACCCTGCCTGTGTCCCGCACCCCGTACTAGAGAACAGGAAACAAAAAACCCAATGCTCTTCTATTAATCTAGACAACAGGAGGACATCTCTTCTCACCCAAAATGTAAGATCTGATTGGGGACATTAAATACTGGGGACAGAGGAGATGCTGAATATCTCCGAGAATGGCAGAACACCCAAACCTACGTGCTTTCTCCGGCCATGATGATTTGCAGGGTTCCTAGGAATGTACACACGCACACAACGATAAAACGTCAGGCAGGCTTTACATCAGGAGTGTACATGTATATGTAGGGGGGAGCACAACTGAAGGAAATAATTTTTTCAGGAGCCTTCAGGTGATCAGAGAAAGTTTTATTGCTTGGGATACATATAATATGAACAGAATTTTAAAAAATCCACAGATTCAATCTCCTTTAAACCCCTCTACACACACGTACCTTGGAAAGGACTCCATGTACGATATGAAAAATTGATTTTCTATCTCTAGGAGAGAAAAAAATATCCTACACTTTCACAAACTTGCAAAGCTCCGATTTAAAACAATTTACCACTCTCTCCCACAGCACCTGCAGAGAAGAACAGTCCAGATGCTACAGCCCCCCCCGATTTAAATAATGTTGTATACTTACTCCAGTGGCCTTGTCAAACCTACACAAAGAACAGACTGAGCTGCAGATTCTATTCGTCTTTACAAATACCAATAGAATTTATTAGATTTCTCCCAACTGCATCACTGCAGACCAAAAAGAAACGGCAGGGTGTCGCTACGAACGCAATTTTGCCGGCGGATGATCCATAAAAAAGGAAAGGAAGGTGGGATGGCGCACACATCTCCAGGGCAGCCGGGAAAAGCAGCCTGGTGTTAACTGAACACATCTGGAATTCAGAATATCTATGGACTAGCGGGGGGGATTCTTGTTTCTAAGCAGAGTTGCACTCTGGAAACTCAATAGTAAAAATATGGATAAATTGTTTAACCTATATGATGACTTTGGCTTGATTAATTTTTTACCACTTCATGGGTCCTTTCTTCTCTTGATGAAGAAAAGGAAATGAAAGCGTTTCTGGGTGTAAGTTCCAGACGACAAGACTCTTAACCAACGGCACCAGACATTAATACCACCTACTATACTGACAAAAAATATTTTGCAGAAAAACTATGAAAAATTAACCATTCTGGTTTCTCTCACACATCTTGTCCTCAAACATATTTTCAGCATAGAGCAGGTACCAGTTGTTTTTTTTTAAAAAAAAACCTATTCTCTCCAGTCTGCTCATGGAAATCTTTCCCACATTCACTTTCGTAACAAAATTAAAAGCAAAATTAGAAAAGAACTACTCTTTGAATAACACTATACCACTAATGAAAAGCAAAATGTTGAGCGTTAAAGTTTCCTAAGTGAATGACACCAGTCAATACCCTTCTGCCAGTCACTCAGCAGTGACTCTGAACAGTAACACCTTTCATGTACTGATTTTTAATCGCTGATTCCAATTACAATCTACAACTCAGATCAATTACTTCTACTGACCTACTACTATACTACTTCCTACCAAGAAGTGGAGAGTAAAATCCATATTTCCATATAATTCTACAAATATTACTACTTACGCAGAAGCTAGAACATCACTGATTGAGAAGAGATCTCCCCAAAACACCTAATGACACAAGAAACATATAACCGAAGGGGGAAGGAGCAGTGACGCAGAGGATTCCCTGTGCTGGGAAGTTAAATATTGACCTCAATCCATTCTGTACGCTTCTTCTCAAGTAAGGGGTAGACTGACTATCAAAATCAAGAAGCTTTACCCCCCCTAAAAAAGTGCTCAAAGTTATATGTAGCAGAAAAATGCTATTTTAGCTCAAAAATTTCATTTAGACCAAATGTATGTTAAGGTAACTGTAATGCAAGGATGCAGGAATCTACCTGCAGAAATGTAATCAATGTATGCTGAATGTAAAGGAAAATAAACATTTCATAGAAGAATAGAAAATATTAGCTTAATTTAATATTAGCAATCCTCATTATTAGACTGGTTTTAAGAAAAAATCCTCAAGATGTGAAAAACATTAAAAGAGTCATTTTCTTTAAAAAAAACAGGAATAATTACTGCACAGCAAACTTAGATATAATCAACAAAGAAACTACCAACAATGAGAACAATAGACACTGTAGGTGAATTAGTAGTCAGGAAACGCTAATTTCAAGTGAACCATTGTCACTGAGTAAACAATCAATAAAATGTTCGCATAATTCCCTCCTCGCTGCTGAAAAAATACTTTTACGCATCTAAATTCTGGGGTTTGTAAAATTTACAAAGTTGGAAACAGTTCCAGTCAGAAGCTCCTGGGTTTAATTCTTACATCATCTATTTTGCTTATTTGATTTGTTTCTTTATTCTTTATTTCTTTATGCCTAAGCAATTCGACTAGCACTAACTCTGATTTTATCCCTGTGTATATCTTGCTACTAGAAGAACCAGAAGATTCTGTTTTATAATAGTTCTTTGTACAGTATCGCATCACCGCACATACTGTATTTGGTGTTCCAGACAGCAAAGCGAGATTTTGTCCTCATTTTTTGCCCTAACTGGAACATTAATTTCTGAAATATTTATGACCACTGTTTTCCATAATTAAATTAACAATTCATACTTTGTAACAAAGGCTCACATGCACTGCATTTTCAGGTCTTTCCTAAATTCCCTTAGTATAGTAAAAATGACACTAAGTAGATCTCAACATATAATACAAGATGAAATGCCAGTACTTAGCTACTGGCAGTTTGCTCCGGAGACTCTGCAG